CAAAGGAATCACTCACCCGATGGTGCTCAGCGCCTGCTCGAAAAGCTCCGTCTGCAGGATGTTCTGAGGTGCTGAGAAAGCCCCGTTGAAATGTGATAAAACCGAGCTACAGAACTGACGCAATGTCTCAAACTGCATTTTCCCCCTCCGTTTTCTTTTATCCTCAGTAAGTGATCACCTTTTTCCACCCCTCACCACCAATTCATCTTGAAGCCTGCAATCTTTCTCTCCCATACACCTCAGTAATATTTAATGATTTCCTACTTATTTTCCTACATCAATAAAAAATATAAAAAGAAGTAAAAACACTGGTCAAGTTCCATGTTTTTTTTTCTTGCCACTCTTCATAAAAAAGTGTCCTTAAATGAGACGCAATCCGGGTGGGATCCTTCTATCATCATGCCGCGGGAAAAATGAGGTAGTTCCTGTGCCGGTAAACGACTTCTGGTCTTTTCGCAGTGGAGAACAATCTCCTCTTGGTGAGTGAAAGCAGGCGGAGGAGCGGCCGGAGCGGAGGAGAGGCGGAGAGGCATCCTACAGGGAAGCGGCAGCAGCGGTCCTCCGCACCGGTGCATCAGCTGCTGCTGCCCAGCATCAACTCACAGTTCCCCTTCAACACTCTGACACACGCTCGCGCTTACACGCACAAAAGAAGCGGTCACGCTGAGAGGCAGCAGCTCTACCAACTGTGCAACCGTGCTGCCCTATCCTGAAACAAAAGCAATTAAATGAAATACCAAATATTTGAATTGTCTACAACTGTGCTTTTGTCAGATCTGTCAAAAGGCTTTCTTTGAATACACTTCTCAGTTTAACATGCTATTTAACAGCTGGAATAAACAAAACAACCAGAATAGTTATTATGGAATGCCATTGATAGGACTTTTGGTGACTTTTCACAAATTCCAGTCAATTAGAAGAATTTACAGCTTTTACCATACCATACCACTTTATTTATAAAGCATTTAAAAACAGCAACAAGGCCAACCAAAGTGCTGTACAGTAAAACAACACAAGCAAAGGACATAGCAAAAAATGCATAGATCCACAGAGGTAACAATAAGAACTAAATGACTAACATTATAGAATATAGATAAGTTGAAATCAACTCACTCAGTGTCAACAGCCGGGGAATAAAGGTGAGTTTTTAAACAAGACTTAAAAACGAGACTTAAAAACAGTGAGAGAGGGAGCCTGCCTGACATTCAGTGGTAACTTATTCCACAGTTTTGAACCTGCAACAGCCCTGTCACCTCTGAGCTTAAAACAGGTGCCTGGAAGCAATAAATGCATCTGGTCTGTTGAGTGCTGTGGGACATATGGCTGCAGCAGATCAGCAAGATAGGAGGGTGCAGAACTGTTCAGAGATTTATAAACATACAGAAGGATTTCGGTCCAATAGGACAAGAAGCACAGAATCACGTCTATCATTGGTTTCTGCACCCTGAAACAAGTTGTGTCATGTAAGAAATGCAGTAAAAAAAGAGGTTGTGTTTAAAGACAGATTACATCTTACTGAACTGAATAGTACCAATGGCTCTCATTGGCATAAACCCACAAGTGAACTGCTCACATGAATAAGAAAAGAGACTGAATATAAAGGGCAGAGGTACATTAATTGGGAAAGTGGAGGCACCTGAGTTGATTGGTGACTAAGAACTGGTGACTAAGAACTGGTGAGTGTGGCAGGCTGACTGGAAAAACACAGGAACTGACAGCTTAGGGCAGATAAATAATAGAACAAATGATCACAGTGAAAGATGAACACGATCAAAAGAAAGAGAAAGGAAAATGGTATGACCATAAAGAATAACTAACTCAGATCTTAAACACAAAGTTAATCAAAAAGTAATAAAAATACACAGATCCTGACAGTGGCAGATCCTTGAATTCAGGAAGCTGGAATTTTGAACATGTTCAAAACATTTATGGGAAATATTTATTTTCTAAATAGTCATTACAAGTATCTGGAACCTTTCTCAAACCCACCCATCCGTCCGTCCGTCCATCCATCCATCCACTCCATCCACACCATCCACTCCATCCATTATCTTTTATCTGCTTCTTCCTTTTTGGGTTGCACGGGTCACTGGTGTCAATGTCCAGCAGTCACTGTGCGAGAGGCGGGAGACACCCTGGACAGGTCTCCAGTCCATCAAAGAGACACATTGAGACAAACGAGAAAAAAACGTTCACTCTCTCACTCACACCTAGAGACAATTTAGAGTTACCAATCATCCTAACATGCATGTTTTTGGTCTGTGGGAAGAAACCGGGGTACTCAGAGTGAACCCATGCATGCGCAGAGCGAACATGCAAAATCCACCCAGAAAGGATCCAGGCTGGGATTTGAACCGGCAACCTTCTTGCTGCACCTTTTCAATTTATTTTCTGTGAATCAGAGTGAGAAACGACAACCTTGTTTCATAGGGTTGGCAACCTATGATACTAAATCCTGAGTGATTTGTGACCTCAATGAGAACTGGACATACCGAGTGCCAAGGGATGGTCATTCTCAACCTCTGCAGCAACATGTCTTCTAGTCATCATCCATCATTTCTCTGAGGTCCAAGTCACTTGTCATCTTATGACAAAGTGATTGCTGAACTATATTTATACGGTCCAGATTTCTCAGTTGCCATGCATCAACAGCAAACACTATTGTACAAAATTCTCATGTCTATTGAGCAGCAGTCACAAGTGTAAAAATAATGAAAATTTTGTTGCAACGATGTCATGCGAATGTCAAAAAAATGTTGTGCAACTGTGAAGCGGACTCAGCCCCAAACAGAGAACAGACAGATTTCAAAAATACAATATGGCAGCTCCTGTAAACTGAGTCCTGCTAGCTTCAATTCCCAACAACAAGAAAAAACAGGAACACTTGGTCTGCAATATACCTGTATACACTTCATGATTTTTTTTTTCTTCATTTTTGTGTCTTCAACTAGTCACCAACAGTCGCAGCTGGGTTAGATGCTAGGGTTTTAATGTTGCCTTTGCTAGGCAGAAGGAGGTAAACGTGAGAATCAGAGAAAATGTTTTCGATGTGTATGTTTTAACTGAGGGAAATCACTGCTGTTTCAACAGACTCAAGCACTACTGCAGCTGTCCTGCTGCATCTGTGTGCTCATTTAAATGACTCCCTGAGACCAGGACAGATTAAAGGCCTTCCCAAGTTATTTTTTGTATAAATAGTCTGTCAGCGTTTTGCTCCCATTTCTTTAGCAGAACAGATTTGAGAGTTAATTTACACATTGTTTAAGATTAATGACAGTGGGCTTTGGTGCTTGTGCAGAGGGAGTTCTATTTATGGCCTTTCTGCTATCCATCTTCTACATTATCTTGTGAATTTTCAGCCACCTAGTTTTTAGTTTCTTGTTACTTGTCATTGCTGCGTCTTTCAAAGGTTTTTTTGCAATGGCTCTAAATCAATGCTTTGCTCTTTTCTGTGTTTATGTACAGTTTATGAGCAGAAAATCACCAGCGGAACAAAATTTGACAACAAGGCTAAGAAATTAATTTAAAAAAATAGATACGAAAACATAAAATCACATTCTTGCTGATTGTTTTTCTGAGTACAGAAATGCACAAGTGGCAGATTTTCCAAGTTTCCATTAATAGAACTGGTGTCATGTGCAGGAAGTTGAAAGAACAAGAAGCGTGTGTTGGTGCTATGCTTGCTATAACAGACCAGTGGCTATGGAAAACAACACTTTGGTTTACAGCAAAATTAAAAGGAAACATGAGCATCAAAGAGGTTAACTAAATGTATTTTTATTTAAATTAATTCTGCCCAGGTATCATTAAAAGAAAAAAAAGTATTTCTCCACTGCCTTTCATAGAGCTTTAGACTGAGTTATTCATATGATGAAAATTGATGGAATTGCATAGTTTTGGTCAAACCTTGACAATAGCATTATGTGCAATCTCATGTAACATCGCTAGCTGTCACGCTCAGAGTGTAAGTTTTGATTAACTGAATTATCAAATTTCAGGTCAATGTCTGCAAAATTGACTGACTTAGAGCCACCTTTGGGTTTTTTGGGGGAGGTCAGTTGGTTGTGAAGGCCATTTTGAATCAGTATGACATTAATCAGTTGTAGATTAAATGAATACGTTTTGCGAGTTTGATTAAAATCCAGACATACTACTTACACACAAATAAAAACATAGCAGTATGCTTTTGCGATTTTATGACGAGCCATAACCATTATCCTGTTCTACCAACCTTTTTTAAAGAAAAAAGCAGTAGGTGCCCCCAAGTGGACAGACACAGGCAAGCAGAATCCCAAAAGCGCCCCAACTGTGCTGTCAGCATCTCTGTTCTACAACAACGGCTTCTTGCACATGAGATAAAAAGAACACAGTGTTCTACTTAGAACTTACCCTACTCTGCCTTTCTGAGCCAAACACATTCTAATAACACCTACATTTTCTAGAAATATATTTTTTTATTATCTGAACAGGCTTAAAACTAAAGATGAGAACCAAACGCAATTCTTTAAACAAAGATTGTCAGTTTTTCATAAAAAACAATGCAACACAATTGTTTGCAATATCCCTTCATGTGCTAATGCCCCATCCCAGCTGAAACAGACAGGCAATTACTTGAGTTGATGTATGCTGGAGAGGAGTATGTGTGTGATGAAAAGAGGGTGAGTGGGTGGATGACTGTTGTAAAAATTGCTGACTTAGAGCCAGATACAGAGTTTATGCCTGTCTTTTTTATAGGCAATATGGGCTCCATGTACAAGCATTTTATGCAGGTCTTTGCCTAGCTTGCAAGGCTCAAATCAGAGTTCCACATAACCTATACACAGCCACAATGATCCGTGCTAATGCTACAATTTTCTTCACACTTAAATCATGTATCTTTACCTGATCGGTGAAACTGCTTTCTCAGATAAAACAATCTAACCTAATCTACACAAAAAATGATCCCTGACATAAACATAGAACATGTCATAAAAAATGCTTTTTAACATAAAAACACTCACCTGTCTATAGGTGCATCACCAGGCCCAGGATACCTTAGCCCTGTACCATTGTCAAGGGATGCCTGTCTGGGCAGAAGCCCACCATGAGGTCTGCTTCTGCCTGAGGCTGGTGTCAAGTCCCCTGAGGCTCCCTGGTAGGGGTATAAGGACTGGTCCTGCAGTTTGGCCTTTTTTCCCTGTGGTCCACCTTCAAACACCCCATGCATCTGACCTGGCCCCGAGCTGTAGAACCACTCTCCGGATTTGGTGAGGATTTCTTGTTGTTTTCGGCACAAGTTGCATACCCACATAACCTGAGGGGAAGAAAAGGCAGATTTAACATTTTGAAATTATCACGCCAAGACTGACTTTCTTCACCCAAGATGAGCTGAAATGGAATGACTTGTGTTTTCTTGTATGAACTTTACTAAATGGCTTTTCTATGTATGTGAATGTTTCTGCAAAGTGCCCTGAGACAACTTTGTTGTGAATTGGCGCTATATATAAACTGAACGAAAACTGAATTGAATTGTATTTAAAGCTTCACCACAACAATTTCACTGTTCTCCTTCTTCTTCTTTTGGCTTTTTCCTTTTCAGGAGTCTCCACAGTGCGTCATCCTCCTCCATCTCACTCTGTCCTCACTCCATCCACCTCCATGTCCTCTCTAACTGCATCCATATGTTTCCTCTTTGTCTTTTTCCTGGCAGCTGCATTTCTAACATCCTTCTACCAATATACCCACTGTCCCTCCTCTGGACATGTCCAAACCATCTCAGTCTGGTCTCTCTAACTTTATCTCCCAGTTGTTCAACCTGTGCTGTACCTCTGATGATCTCATTCCTAATCTTATCCAGCCTCGTCACTCCTAAGGATAACCTCAATATCTTCATTTCTGCCACTTCCTGTTCTGTCTCCTGTCTTTTTGTCTCTGTCTCCAGATCATACAACATATCTGGTCTCACCACTATCTTGTAAACTTTTCCTTTGACCTTTGCTGACACCCTTTTTTCACAAATCACTCCTGAAACTTTTCTCCATCCACTCCACCCTGCCTGGACTCTCTTCTTCACCTATTTATCACACTCCATATTTTCCTGTCCAGTGGACCCCAAGTGCTTGAAGTCCTGCACCTTTGTGACCTCTGTAGCCTCACTGTTCCACCAGCCTCCATCTCATTAACACACATGGACTCTGTCTTACTACGGCTGACTTTCATTCCTCTTCTTTCAAGTGCATACCTCCACCTCTCCAAGTTCTCTTCCACCTGTTCTCACCACAGATCACAATGTCATCTGCAAACATCATAGTCCATGAGGATTCCTGCCTGACCTCATTTGTTAGTCGGTCCATCACCAGAGCAAACAAGACGGGGCTCAGACCCGATCCTTGATGCACTCCCACCTCCACCTTGAAGCTATCTGTCACTCCTACAGCACATCTCACCACTGTCCTGCTGTCCTCACCAGTCTAACATACTTCTCTGCCACTCCAGATTTCCTCATGCAACACCAAACCTCCTCCCTCGGCATACTTTTTCTAAATCCACAAAGACACAATGGAGTTCTTTCTGACCCTCTCTGTACTTCTCCATCAGCATCCTCAAAGCCAACATGGCATTGTTGCTGGATGAAAATCTTTATACATTAAAAAGTCAGCTGTTGAAAAACATGAATACTGTAATATTTTTAAAACTTTCACCTCACAGCAACATGACAAAAACATATGTTATGAAAAGAATAATGCAACTGTACACATAAAGCAGCCTTTGATTATATTTTAAAATACATAAAAGTATGATTGGGTTTATTTTTGTATTACATTATAACCCTGCGAGTCCATCCAATAGGTGATTTCTACAGTTAAATTTGCTTTTTGTGTAATGAAAAAGCACTACTAAATTGTTAAGCAAACTTTGGCAGCAGTGTACCAACTACAGCCTTCATCATTGTTAATTTAAACTAAAAAAAAAAAGCAATTCAATAAATATTGTTTGATTTTAAATATACCACAAGTCAATGTACAACCATATCCTTCTTTTCTGTCCAACTAAACTGAAAAGATAAAGATTTTTCTGCTCTGGGATGTTTTACCTTCATTTGTTTTATAGACAGTACCAGACAGCTCTCCCCATTAACCTGATAAATCCAGGACAGCAAAGGTGCTCCGAAGGTTGTACTCATACATTCACTAGAAAGCAAAGCCTACTTTTGGTTTATGGGTTCATTTAGGAGAAAAAAAAATCCATGCTTATATTTCTTACAGTTAAACATTAGAAACTGTGTAAACTCAATTTAATTCAGTTGTGATTCAGGCGATTACATCTCTCTTGTTCAAAGTGTTGTTGTTTTGTTGTTGTTGTTTTTGTTGTTGTTTCTAAACATTATAGTATGCTCAAAAATAAAAAAAATAAAACTAACTGACCAGACAACCAATAGAGCAAAAAGAAAAGGCATTCTGCTGCACAGCATGCACCCTTCTTTTATAATCCCAGTAGTAACTCATTACTGTTATTGGTATGAACTGGACTTGCACTGACCAATACCTAGATTAACTGATTTTACTAAAACTACACTGAGCTATGTAGCTACAAAATATATATATATATTTTTTTTAAACAGAAGGTTCTGGAAGATACGGAGAACAGAAGCTATCGGAAGAAAGACAGATGAAAACTAAGTCAATAATTATAAGGGTCAAAAACTTAAAGGTTGCCAAACAGTTTGTGCACTACTACACAGTCAGACTATAGGAGAGGAAGAAGAGAAGATAAGTCTGTATGTTGTAGAAGGAAAAGCATGTGTGGGAACTTAGAGATTGTACAGTAGGTGACATAGCATATAATTCCCTTATAAAAAGTGTACCAGTCAGGATGAGGAGGAACTCAAAGTACTCCTTCCACCACCTGACCATTCTCAGTTGAGGACAGCTTCTTGCAAACAACATCGCTGCTTCTCTCATCCAGGCTGTATAACAGTTTGCCAACTCTTTTTGAGACTCACCAAAGTCCTGCTCCATTGCCTCATCACACCTGAGTTTTTGTTACCACAAGTGCTCCAGCCATGGCCTGCTGATACCTGTCAGCTGATTCTGAAGCCCCTCTAGCAAACCAAACTCCACCTCAGGAATCCACCACTGAGTTTTGGGGTTAGAGCCTCAACAAGCAGCATGCAGAATCAAATTTGTACATTTGCAACAGCAACCTAGAACTTGATACATTTGAAGTTTGTGTCACAAATTTATCTTGTGATGATGGAAAACTGCTAGAGGTGGTCAAGACTTAAACATTTTCTGGTCTGGGTCCAGATTTGATGACATAATAGCAAACCTGGCTATCAGCCTGTGGTGTTGTTAAAACTGCAAAGGGGCGACAAACTTCCAATGAATTTCCCAAAGCTTTCCAGAAACCTTACAAGAAAAGTTAGGCTGGTAAATTTGGGGAGTTTTCAAATTGGAAATCTATTCTTAGCTGATCTAAAACACACTCCCAACAAATCTGTGCAGCTAAAGATCATCAATGATTTAGCAATTATTTTTATTTTCTTTTGGATATTCTTACTGAAACATTTTTTTGGAACATGCACAAATGTTGAGAAATACCGTAATTTCCGGAATACCTGTATAAGCTGCTACCTTTTTCACACACTTTGAACATGTGCTGCTGATTATCCATGTTGCTGATTTCTTACTCATAAGCTGTGGTATTCTGCTCACAACAGCCTCATGTTCAGGTTGCTGTTTAATATACTGTATTATTTTACATTATTATTGTTTAGCATACATCTTAGATCCTTGTATACTCTTTTTTAATACTTTGTATTTTTGCTATTTAAATTACACTGTTAAGCAATATAAAGAAAATGAAGTATATCCACCATTTATATAGGAAAAACAATACAAGTATGCCTTTTAAAAACTAGCATGGATGTGTCCCTTTCAATGAGCACCAATTGCACTTAGTTTCTTGTGTGATCTTATCTGTCCCTTGGTAGACTTGGGTTTGATTCCCAGTGAGGGAGTCATGTGTTCAGTATTGTTCTACTCAAACCAAAACATTTAGGCTTTGCAAACAGCAGCAGTCATATTTCTATGATATTTAAAGGGATCACTGATTAGTAGGAACAATAGATCTTGTCTAATAATTTTAATAATGCATAATTTATAATGAGAAACACCACAATAAATAAATGTGATTGAAGAATATTTGTGGTTGATTTATTGGCTATGTCTTCTGCTTGTTAACATGTTTATTTAGAGGTTTAAATTATTGTAAATCAGCTCTGTGAGGTGCTGGCCAACATCTTTAACTCCTCTCTCACCCTGGCAACTGTTTCAACCTGCCTGAAGACCGCCACCAACATCCCAGTTCCTAAAAGCTTTGCAGTGACTGGTCTGAATTACTATCGGCCAGTAGCACTCACCCCAATAGTGGAGACTGGCCATGAGCCATGATTCACATCAAAACTACCATCGACATCAACAAGGAACCTAACCAGTACGCATACTACAAGAATCGATCAACAGAGGATGTCATTACCTCTGTGGTCCACACTGCTCTCACCCACCTAGAGCAGAAGGACTCCTACGTCCATATGCTCTTTGTGGACTCCTACATCTGCTTTCAACATCATGATTCCCCAGACCCTGATGGACAAACTACTCACACTAGGACTAAGCCCCTCCATATACAACTGGGTCCTGGACTTAACAAACAGACCACTGTCTGTGAGGATCCACAACTTCACCTCATCCACTATAACCCCCCAGTACTGGCTCCCCTCAGGGTTGTGTTGAGCCCCCTACTGTTCACTCTGCTCACATATGACTGTGCACCTACCCATCCAGGCTGTCATATTGTAAAGTTTGCAGATGATACAGCAGTGGTTGGATGCATCACAAACAATTTTGAGTCCAGCTACAGGCAGGAGGTGGAACATCTGGAGAAATGATGCAGGAAGAACAACCTTCACAACAATGTGAAGAAGACAAAGGAGATGATCATGGACTTCAGATGGAACAAACAAAACTACCCACCCCAGAATATAGGAGGATCTGCGGTGGAAGTGATCTCCAGCTACAAGTACTTGGGTGTGCACCTGAATGACAACCTCAGCTGGGGCAACAACACCACCAGCCTGATCAAGAAAGCTCATCAGAGACTCTACTTCCTCAGGCAGCTGAGGTGAGCTGGTCGGGGAAGCTCAGTCCTCACCTCCTACAGGTGTGCAGTGGAGAGCATCCTGTGCTCCAGCATCAACATGTGGCATGAAGGCTGCACAGCTGCAGAAAGAAAAGCTTTGCAGAGAGTGGTGAA